AATTGAATGTATTGTGCTTGTAGTGTTTGGTTGACCAATATGACATGGGAAAGTCCTCCCACTGTAAAGTGATTACAAAGAGTAGAGGGAATATCAATTCGTCTTCTCATGGATGCAAAGTTACTTTCCCTTTGCAAACGAAAGTTACAACTTTTATTATTTCCAAATTATCCTACCCATTCCATGACCCTTTATTCTTTTTCTTTCTTTTTCTTCCTCTGGTCAGCTATTCTTTCTTCTTCTCCTTCTTCTTCCTCCCCTGGTTACCTGTAAGAACCCTAGCCGCTCACCTTCACATTTATGTTAAAATTAGAGACCGAGATCTGAATCTAATTTGTTAAGTGCTTTTGAGGGTTCTATCTATATTTGCCTTGGTTGCTTGGATTTTTGGATCCTGGATTTTAGGAGTCTTGGAGTGAAGAGATGAAGTCTTCACTCTTCACGGTGAGGAAAGGACTAAGCCGGAGAAAGAAGGTGACAGGTGGAGTGAATATAAAACAAAATTATTAAAAGAATGGAAGTTGACCTTTGAAAAAAAAAAAGATAGAATAAAAATAAGAATAGATTTAGGTTTAATTTAAATATAAAAATGATGCCTTAGGTTAATTTAGTCTATTCTTATTTTTTAGTTTTTATTTAATTATTTTAAATAGAAATTTACTTGTATTATTTATGTATATTGATAAATAATATTACTATTAATATTATTAAAATATTAGCTATTTATTTTTAAAAAATAAAAGAGAAATCATTAGCCAAAAAAGCTCAAGACAAAAAAATTAAAAACTCTTTGAATGATATTTTTTATTATTCATGTGATAATTCTAGGTATTATTACAAAATTATTATTTTTAATATTTATAGGTATTATTATTAAAATAAATATTTAGTAATTTTACATTTAAAATAAATAATTAGTATTCAAATATTATATTATTTTTTATGTTATTATTTATTATTTTAAGAGATAAAGTTTGAAAAGTTAAATATTTACATTAAAAAATATAAGTTTATTCAATTTTATATTTTCAAATATAAGAGTAATTTTGTAAATTTATATTACAATGTAAATACTTTCAAACAAAACCTTACAATATAATCTTATCAGCAATCACATTCCTTATCATCATCATTTTTCTATGTTATAGCAAACGCTACCAAGGTGTTTTTTCAATAATCACATTCACAATTGTATACTTAATAAATATATTCTCTGTAATCACATTTTTAATATAAAATAGCAAATGCCACCTTGATGCAATCAAGCACCTTGGTCATTGTTTAAGCATGAGCGGCCCAATAACTTCAAACCTATAAAGTTAAATATTCAAATAAGGCATTTTCTATTGAAATTAAGAAAATGAGGCCTTTTTTTTTATTGAAATTAAGGAAGAAAGAGAAAATGAGAAGAGAAATTAATAAGTGGATATTTTAAATTGAAAAAAAATTGATTTTATATATAGGAAAAAAATAGTGGTTGGAGACCATTATCATACTTGATTAGGAATTGGAGAAATAGTTAAGAATCAATAGCATTGTGAGAATTGGAAAGTAATAAAAAATTAAGATTTCTTAGGTACATAATTAGAGAGATGAGAGAATATGTTATTTTATTAATTATTTTGATTTTTACATATTTTTAATGGTAAATGAAATAAATAGTTGAGAATCAATAGGGATATGGAAGTGAGGAAAAATAAATATTTATTAAGTATGAGAGAATATGTAGATATTTTATTAATTATTTTAAATTTTGCATATTTTTAATATAATTATTTATATTATTATTATAAAATTATGAGATTTATGAAATTTGGGTTTTGGTGGCCTTACCCTACCGTCGGCCCTGCCCGGGTTTGGGTTTAACTCCTTCTGAATAATTTAAACAGATTTCTTTGTATTTTAGATGATAATTGGTTTCATCCTAAGACTGATCAACGGAAATGAGGAAATTACATTTCTTGGTGCTTTGTAATTGCCGTCATTTGCTTGGAGTCAATGATAAGTTTATATTTGGTTAAGAAGATGATGAAAAGATAAGGAAAGTTGGATGAGCCTTTTTCTTTTCTTTCTTTTTTTTCCATCAACGTGCTTTATTCATCCATTGTCAAACCAATAATACGAAGGTAATGATGTTTTATCTTGAAAAGAGAAATTAATCTCTTTAACAAGATATATAATATCTATTAACACTTCTTATTTTATATTCAAATAGTTATATTACCTTGGATTAACTCTTCTTATGGCGTTGGGAAAACTAAAGAGTTGAAACAAACGATTTTGGCTTCTTTTATAAGTTGGCAAAAACAATTGAATCAAGGGGGAATTGCTAATGTGTATATAGTTCAATGGGAAAAGAAGATGGGGATGGTGTGGAAATTACTTAATTTTGAGTGGGAGACAAAGCTGATAGGGAGCATGAGCGTCTGCTGGTAAACCAGATGGGTGAGCAGTTACGAATTATAATTAGTCAATGGTGGGAGACATGAAGTTGCTTACCAGACTATCAGATGGCCTGAACTAGAAATTCAGCTTCTCCTTCAGACCTGAAAATCATTTTTATGAAATTAGAAAGGTTCTAATGTAAATTAGAATAAAATGTTGAACAACAAGAGAATTGTGGTCATTGTTATATAGAAATAAACGGAAAAAAGAATAGAACTAAACTAATTAGATATGGAATATTGGTATCTTAGATTTCAAATCACTAGGAATTAAAGATGATTAGATTTAATACCACACCCAAAAATGAAAATTCATTAGGCATCCGAATATCAGATGGGACAAGAAATATAGAAGCAGCATATCCATCAAAATCAAGCCCTGCATATACAAATAATGTACAACAGGTGAAATTGAGATCATTCAACTTGAACGATGATATCCCAAACATATGAATTTCAATGCCAAAGAGAAAGTTACTTGTTCCTTTTTTGATAAACCTGGTGAGTACGTACTTCATTGTTTTGGATGTATATAAGAAACGGGGGAGCTCGGTTTTGACTGCTTGATGAAAACTTTTGGCTATCGAGAAACACATCTACAAGTATGAATCTTGATGAGAATTTCACACTCTATTGACAATAGTAGGAATGTTTACAAATTACATGTTTCAGGAACCTGGTTATGGCATATACTTCCAGCTAGGATCTTGCTAGTTTTGATAGGATCAGCACCAGATAGTATCCTACGGATTGTGCTATAAGAAATTGTCACCGAATCTTAGTCTTCTTAGGACAATTTATGGGAAAAGCAAGGGTTTGAGGGCTCAGTGGTTAAACATTACCATAGGTAGTTTTCTGGGTTTTCCTTTTTTTTTCAAAAGCGTTGATTTTATTAGTCTTCTCTATCATTATGCCATCCTCAAGTCTCTAACATGACTTGCCGAAGATTTCAAAAGGCATAAGAATTCTGATATAGGCTTTGAGAACCTAAAGAATTACAAAAGCTCACTGCTGCCCAAAAATATATTGACAGGATAAATTATCAACGTTTAGGTCAACATCTAAACATTGCCCTTTATCAAAAACTAGGCTTACAAGAATCATACTTTACCCATAACAGATGAGCGAGGTGTTTGTTTTGTTTATTTGTATTCTATCAAAGAAAATTATTAATAATAATTCATGAAATCTTATTTGTCCTTAAAAAAGCATATTTTGATAATTTTTTAATGATTTAAATTATCATCGAATATGATTTGTGTTATTTATTATAATAAAAATATAAAACATTACTGCTTCAAATGTTCGACACGGGGAAAAGGAAGCTTCATAAGCATGTGGGGATCTTCTAGCCAAATGGGGACATGTTAAGTCCACGGAGTAGCGGCCCGTCTGGCATTTTCCCGGGAGACACCTTGCCTTGCTGGGGAAGTTCCCGGCGTCTGAAGTTGAACTTTTGTCTCATGTGTTAAGTCTAATGTGCCAAGAGAGCTTAGAAAAGCCTGATAAGATGGCATCATATCCTATCTTATTCTGTTAAACCAGTTAAAAAGTCTTCCTATTAGAACAACAGCCACAATAGTCTTCATGGAGAGAGGGGTAACATCTTTTAGAAGACTAGTCAAACAATTCAAACAATTACTACTTATTCAACTTTACAGAAATATCATAACACAAGCTGATGAGATCATGCATATATTTATATTAGTAATACTATGCTATTAAATTAAAAGTTGAAGAAAACGATGAGGCATGGAATCCAAATTGACATCCTCAATGATGGATAAATGTCAGCTTAAACCCACTAGGAAAGAAGAAAAGTGTTTTGTTTTGGCATTCAATTTGTGTGTAACTGCTCAAAACAGGAAACTGATGGGTCATGACTCTTGACCCAAACTGGATGAGCAGCCCAGGGGGTGCAATTGGGTCTGGACAAAGCTCTTTGATCTGGCTCTCCTTGTTGGTTTGTGACGTAGTCAAAAGGATAGAGCCGCCTTTTAGTTCTCACACCAATTCTTTTTCTGGTAAAACATTGAGGCAGGGATAAGAAAATACCAAAGTGGTTACTAGTAATTTACTCTGAATATTCTCTAGCTGCCCAATTTTCTAGTGCAGCAGCCTTCCCTACTGCCGAAAGAAATGCTTATGTAACCTGAATTAGAAAGTTTCAGATTGAATGGTCCAAGTTGATGAGCGAGAGGGTGCTTGCCTTCTACTCTACTACTGTGTTTTAATTTCATTTCTTAACAGAAGAAAGAGGATTATTTGGCCCAGGGAGAGAATGAGATGGTAATTTTCGTTAGTACTAGTAGGTTACTGTTTAGCAGAACAGGAGCAAGTCAAAACAGCATGGTACATTTTATCTGATAAAACAGGGCCGTAGACTGTTGTAGAGAACCCTGGGGCAAAAGAAGGGAAAATATGAAAAATAAAAAATAGAGATTGGAGGACAGAAAAGATCTAAGGAAGACCAGTCAACTCAGAATCCTTCCTCGTTCAGACACAACAGAAAAATAAACGCGTTTTTCGCGATTATTGTAGTCAACATCTCCCTCCTCGCCTTAGAACAAGAACAAAGACGACAACATTAACCAAGTTCACCAACTCTTACAAACTCCAAAACTCCAAAAAAAGAAAAAGAAAAAGAAAATCTCTCTTTTTATTACATTTCTTTTCAATCAACAAACAACAGCAGGAAACAGAAACTTAAAACAAATTAAAAAGATTTCATTTTTTTAGAGTCCTGTGAAGCAACAAAGAAACTTTTTTTTTTCTTCCCGATGGAAAACCCAAGAACAAGAAGTGGCAGCAGCTTGAGCTCATCTTCTAGCCTAGATGCTTTGACTACTACACTAAGTAGCTCAATTCAAGCTCTGGGTCGTGGCTTTGATGTCACTTCCGATATAAGGCTGTTATATTGCAAAGGGGCACCTGGGTCGAGGTTGGTTCAGCTTGAAGAAAATCATACTAACAATCTTGTTTTGCCTGGTGGGGTTATTGTGCCCAATGTGTCTGATGATATTCAGTGGTCGATGGGCAAAGATGGCATCGAGAGAAAACCAGTTTGTAGCTTTCATGAGGTAGGCTGCTGCTTGTCCCTTTTTGATCTGTTTTCTCTTGTTGGTTTTTCTGATCTTATTTGTTTGCTTCGTGTGGCGTTCATATCTTTTTCCATTTTTGATTCATTATCTGTGTAATTTTAATTTCCCAGTTTGGCAGCTTTATTGGCCTTCTGTCTTGGTTGGATGGACATAGGGGTAATTGGTTATTTGTTTCGAAGTGTAAACTTTGATGTTCTGTTGGGCATGCTGGGATTTCCATTTTCTTAGTTATTTGCAAAAATGCAATTTTTTTTACATATTTCCTATCTAGGACCCTAGGTATTCTGATTGGCAAAGTGAGAGAGAAACCGATAGTTGCAAGGGAACTTTTGTTGTTCCTTCAAGTATATTCAATCTGAATTCAATACTGTTTAACCCACTTAAGCGACTATATTCCGTGGTGTCTGTGTGGAATAACTTCCTTTTCTATTGTCTATTGCACATTCACTGCATGCTGTGATCATTGATTGCTAAAATCTTCTTGTGCCACCTCTGCATTAGAGTAAAGAAGTTGACCTAGAATCTTCAAACTTGCTGTAATTTATTTTCTGGATATTTGGGCAGGAACCATTAACATTTTAAATTTAGTAATTTTCTTTTACTAGTGAGCATAGTTCAGAATGGAATAGAATATGATAATGGTAAATGCTAGGTCAATAAAAATGCTGCTGTATAAATCCAGTTAATATTTTGGGTTAAGTAGGCGTTCTTTCAACATCTAATGTGATGATATGCTCATTTAAACAAACCACTAAATCTTTTTAGCACATGCTTTGGGTGCATTCTACCTATAATCTGTACAGCACTTACACAATTTTATTTAATATAGCAGTTTGAGATGTAATTTCATAACTAAACTACAAGTGAATGTTTTGCCAGGGTACTGCCCAAGCATTGCCTCATCTCTGATTTGAAATTGACTCACATCGTTGATGATTTCCTATGGTTAAAGCCATTAGGCACTATCCATATGTTTAGTTAAAGCATTGCCTTGTTTCTGGTAATGAATGGCATCTCCAGGTTGAATGTCCTATATTTGGATAATTTTTGTCTGTGTTGGTGGATTGGTGTACATTTCCTTATATAGGGTGAAAAAAAAATTCTACCTCTGTTTTACCAGTTCAGTATAGAGTGACAAAATCACCTGATTGAGAGTAATGATTCTACTTCTATTGGCATTTAAGTTTGGAGTGAGAAACCCACCTTTAATGGACATCTTGATGTTTGAATTCCAGATGTCGGGTTACTTTAATGAGAAAGCTGGTATATCAGGGCGTGTTCCTCTTGGAAGCTTTAATGCCATGTTCAATTTCACTGGTTCTTGGCGAGTTGATGCAGCAGCTACAAAATCCCTTGCCATGGTTGGATATTTAATTCCCCTATGTATGGTCAAATTGGCAAAGCCAAATTTAATTCTGCACGAGGAAGTCAGACGTGCTGTTCCTTACTCTTGGGATCCTGCATCCTTGGCAAGGTACATGGCATGGGAGTCATGTTTAAAGAATGAACATTTGTTACTTAAGCTATACATTTCTAGCTATATTTTTTATTTGATATCTCTTTACAGATTTGAAACTTTTGATTTGTTACTTCCATACTCTGAGGTCAAGCTAATATTAATTTCAGCTCCAAATCCTTAATCTGCATCTGATGTATCATATGTATCACTGATCTTCTCTCTCTCCTCTTTATGACAATGTATCATAGGAACCATAGATAATTCTGCATTGGTGTACAGCTTTAGGTTATAATTGTTGATGTTGATCTGGTTTCCTTTATTTGTTTCAGTTTTATTGAAAATTATGGTACACACATTGTAACCTCTGCTACAATTGGTGGGAGAGATGTTGTTTACGTCAGACAGCACCAGTCATCTCCTTTGTCAGTAACAGACATTGAGAACTATGTGAAAGACATTGGGGATCAAAGGTTTCTGGACTCTAAAGGCCAGTCAAGTGCCACACCCTTAAAATACAAGGACAAGGTTAGTATTATGGTGCTGTTCACTTATAGGTTCAATGACAAAATACATGCTCAATATGGTGATCCCTTATATGTTACTTTGTCACTTCCTGTTTATTACTTAGCCTTCTTGTTGTGAATGCTGACTTTGAAGGAAATATGTATCTTTCTACTGCAGTTATTTATAATTTTCCTTGGGTAAATTATGTTTGCCTTAATGTGAGGAAATCTGTTGCTAAAAGAGTTCTTGCTGTAGGATGTTACAGTCATTTTTAGGAGGAGAGGAGGTGATGATCTTGAGCAGAGTCATGCCAGGTGGGCAGAGACAGTACAATCGGCACCAGATGTTATCAACATGACATTTACCCCTATTGTTTCTCTTCTTGAAGGAATGCCTGGTATAAAACATTTGGCCCGTGCAATTGAACTATACTTGGAGTGTAAGTTCTCCTTCAACAGTTCATACTTTTTTGAAATGTGAACTTTTTGTCAACTTGAGCAATATGTTTGTCTTACATAGATGTTAAAGATGTCTTCTTTCTTCCGCTTTAGATTCTAGTAAACATTCATTATTTCCTTTTACCAGACAAGCCACCAATTGAGGACTTACAATATTTCCTGGATTTTCAAATTGCTCGAGTTTGGGCTCCAGAACAGAGTAACATTCAAAGGAAGGAACCTGTGTGTTCATCCCTTCAGTTTAGCTTAATGGGTCCCAAGCTCTATATCAGCCCGGATCAGGTATTCTATATTAATCTGAAATCTACACTATGGAATGTTAAGAGGAAAAGTGTAAATGAGTTATAAAGAATGCTGGTTTTCCATGTGCATAATTTGATTGCATCTCTCTCCTTGAAGTCCTAAATTTATTAGTATTTAAAGAAAGAGAAAGCACCATTAATAAACTGAAAGCAAACAATATGCACCTGGGGGACACATCTCTGAATTCTGATTTGTCATTTCTGTGACTTGATTTATTGCAAATGTTTCTGTCATCTTTTAGTGTGCTTGACCTTTCTGAGCCTCTAATCATAAGTTATGTCACTAAATGTAAAAGATGAGCCTTCAGAAGGAAATTGTTGAGCAATGTAGATGTATGCTTTTTCTGTGTGGTATAGAAAGCTTTCAAAACTTTCTGTAGCATTGGTGGCGTCATAGTTACCAGGTTATGCTTGTGTATGTGGTATGAAGAGCTTTCAAAACTTTAAGTAGCATTGGTGGGATCATAGATACCATGTTCGCTCTACCCACCCTGGAACTGTGAATTGGATCATGCGATCCAGATCCTGGTACTTTTGCAGCCTGGGATCCTTGGACGCAATCTGTATCCTTAAAATTGGTGAACCAGATTTTCAGAACATAGAGGGAACCAAACATCGAAACTTCGCAACAAAAGGAAAAAATGTGGGAATTAAAGAGAGAACAAGAGAAGCACAGATTCTGAAATTTTAGAAGAAAAAAGAAGATTAAAGAGTGAGAAGACTGAAGACGAGGGACAGAGAGGTAGAATAATAGAAACCTACAAATAGAGAGTAGCAGAAAAACTTTTAACATTAGGGTTTAGAAAAAGAAATGTTATTCAGCTACTGCCTAGTTAGATTTTTAAATGTTCTTCATACTTTTAAATCTAACACCCATTTTTAAAACATAATAAAAAACCCAGTTATGTTTAATGAACCATTATTTAAATGCCCTCTTAGAATTTTAGACAGCAAGAAAAGTCATTACATTCGTTTAAGGGAAAAATCACTTCATATTTCTTCAAAATCTTATAATCAACTAAATAAAACTATTGGCGACCAAGAACTATTTTACAATGTACCACAACCGAAAATAGCATATCTAGTAAACCTACCTTTAGTACCACAAATTATCTAAATGGCACACCTCATTCCTGTTTCTGCATGATGAACAGAGACGTACCATGTTCATGGTAAGTATAGGTGGGATACCACAGTTGTACTACCTATCTCTCTATATTGTACTCGATGTCTCCTTATTGGAATGCTTAGAAATAATACTCATTGACATTGGTACATATTTTCCCTCTTGCCAAGAGGGAAAAAAAGGTAAATAATTGACTGTATTTCTTGGAGCCACACCAGATAACTTTGTAGAGCCTGAAATAGTTTTTTCTTCAGCTAAATTTATGCCATGATATTGCAGGTAACAGTTGGCCGTAAACCTGTCACTGGGCTTAGACTTAGCTTAGAAGGCAACAAGCAGAACAGACTTGCTATTCATTTGCAGCATTTAGTATCTCTTCCAAAAATCCTTCAACCCCATTGGGATGCACACATGGCCATAGGGGCACCCAAGTGGCAAGGTCCTGAGGAGCAAGACAGCCGTTGGTTTGAGCCCATCAAGTGGAAAAACTTCTCCCATGTAAGCACTGCACCGATAGAACACACTGACACTTGCATTGGAGACCTCTCTGGCGTTCACATTGTCACAGGGGCTCAGCTTGGTGTTTGGGACTTCGGTTCCAAAAACGTGTTACACCTGAAACTCCTCTTCTCCAAAGTACCAGGGTGTACAATAAGGCGATCTGTGTGGGATCATAGTCCCTCCAGCCTTTCTGGAAGGGCTGATGGTTCTTCGTCATCAGTTTCAAATGAGAGAACTTCTGACGATAAGAAGGAAGATAGTTCAAGCCTTGTCGGGAAACTAGCAAAAATTGTGGACTCAACTGAAATGTCTAAAGGACCGCAGGATAGTCCAGGCCATTGGTTGGTTACAGGGGCTAAGCTTGGGGTGGACAAGGGGAAGATTGTATTGCGCATTAAGTACTCGTTACTGAATTACTGATCCATTATTTGCATTTGGTAGGATTACCCTTTTTCTACATGTAAGCATAGTCAAGCATTCTTTGCACAGGCGATCCCCGTTCGTTCGTTCTTCTGTACATTGTGCTCTTTTGTTTGTTTATTTGACCTTACAGTTGATAGTCAGATTATTAGGTATTTGACTCCTCAGTTCCTCAATTTAGTTTCGCTATTTGTTTATCAGAGAACCAGGCCATGTTACCCAATAAACATAACATTGTTATATGAAGTGATTGCTCTTGTTCTCCTTTGAAGTTTGCACATCATTGTTAAATCTTCTTCTATTTTTCGTTTTTGGTGGTGATTTATTCCCGTATTCAGATCGGTTTCAATTACTCATTACTCAACTTTCATCAAAATAAAATTGCCTCATTATATAATGAGCAGAAACACAGGCACATGCAAAGGTAGAGAATATTATATAATGCTGACTCAACCTCAGAACGATCGAAGCACCAATACAGAAAAGGTAACAACTGATCTTGAATTCCTTTTCCCCCATATTTCTTGTGGGAACTGAAGTATCCACTTGGTGGGTATTTAGTTCATATCCAAAAGCCTGACGCTATAAAATATTAGCCAGAATTGACACGTTCAAGCCAGCCGGCCATCATTCGGAAGGACTCAATAAACCCTTGCTGATGGGAGAAAATGCAGATCCAAATCCAACAGATATTGATCCGTGAATGCCACGACAAGAAGAGGTGTTCTGCAACACCATCCCCCTGACCATGTCAGCATCACTTGATTCACCACGTTGTCTGCCTACGCCAAATCGTGTTCTTCGATGTAAATCTATCCCTCGTATGAGCCAGGAGTTTGTCAGCATTCTGTTTCACTTTTCCCTGGCAACAACAGGAGTGCTCCTTTTCGGAACCATCAACGGACCCACACTGGAATACGATGTACAGATTTTTTAAACTTCCGAAAGTGTCATTAAAAGAGACGTTTGGTTATACAAAAGGATTGTATGGTTTTCATGATCTGATGACAGTTTTGTGAGCTACATTTAACTTGGAATATACTATGGAAGTAGAAAAATTATTATCTAATTACAAGATGTCATATGAAATTAATAAATTCAAAAAAATTTCAAAGAAGAATCATGTGTCATGTGGATTTGAAGACATCAATTATAATAATCATATAATTAATTATAAAATAATTAATTTATTAACTAATTATTTTGAAGATATATAATTAGACCAATTAAAATTTTTGTAGATGTCATATATTTATTTTTTGAAATAATTTAGAGATAATATATTAATTGGATCAATAAAAATTTAACTATTGACTATCCAAGTTATCTCTAAATAAATCAAAATAATTTAGAGATAAAATCCAAATTTGGTTATCTAATTTATCTTTAAATAAATTAAGATAATTTAAAGATAATATGGTTAATCAAAATTTAAAGACTTTGTTCAATTAAAAAATTATTTGTAAGTAATCATGATTTATCTCATGCAAGTCTCTCATTTAGCAATATAAATTCTCATCCAAAATAATTTATAATGCTTCTCCACGTAAAGAAGACAATTGGAAAAAAAAAAGAAGATTTTGAAGATCAAAGTCTCTCTAACTCCCACAAGTCCCAAGCTTTCCTTCTTGATAAATTCTAGGAAGATTCTAGATATCAAAGCCTCAAGAAGGAAGATTCTAGAAAAAAAGCTTACGAATTCATTAAGACCTTTGAAGGGGAGACTAAAGAATTGATTAAAAAAAATTATTTATCAAAATACGAAGTTCAAGATCAAGATCAAGTCATCAGGATCTTGAAAGGAAGATTGAAAAATTAATTAGAGATAATTCTTTATTAAAATACATTCGAGACCAAGTCATCAAGACCTTTGAAAAGAGGATTGAAAAAATTAATTAGAGGAAATTCTTCATTAAAATACATTCAAGACCAAGTCATCAGGACCCTTGAAATAAAGATTGGAGGGAAATTCTTCATCAAAATACGAAGTTCTAGACCTAATCATCAAGACCCTTGAATCGAAGATTGAAGAAATTAGTTAGAGGAAATTCTTCATCAAAATACAAAGTTCAAGTCAAGGGTCGAAACGTTCAAAATGAAGATTGTAGAAATTAATTTAAAAAAATTCTTAATTGTAAAAAAAATCAAAGATTGTAAACCATGTCTTTTTAAATATCAGCACATTTAAAAAGAAGATTATGAAAATTAAAGGAAAATTTTAGAGATCAAAACCTTCAAAAGGAAGATTCTAAACATCTAAGCCGTCAAAAGAGAGATTCTAGAGATCATTATGGAGATCAAAGCAAGATTCTGGAGATCAAAGTAAGATTTTGGAGATCAAAGCCCATTACAAGGAAGATTATGGATCTAAGCCTCAAGAGGGAAGATTCTGGAGATCTAAGCATCCGGAAGGAAGATTATTAAGATCCAAGCAAGATTTTGGAGATTGTGTTCTATTTGCAATTAAATTACTAACTGCTATTATTAACTCAACTACTAGTCTTTGAGCTCAGAACTTAACTACACATTCATTCTAGTAAAGCAGGAAGATTCTATAGATCAAGCCTTTGAAAGAAATATTTTGGAGGTCAGATCCTCTAGAAAAAAGATTTTAGAGATTTTTATAGAGATCAAAGTCTCCAAAAAGAAATTCTGGATATCAAAACCTCCAGAGGGAAGATTATGGAGATTTAAACCTCGAAAGGTAGATTATGGATATCTAAGCCTTTGAAAAGAAGATTATGAAGATTTTAGAGATCAAAGTCTTCGAAAGGAAGATTATGGAGACCTAAGCTGCTAGACACAAGAATATAGTCACGATCCACATTAACCCCTATAATTTAACTTATTGGTCTTACAATTTTACCCTACAAAAGGCATGTGAGATTCATATGGTTCCACACTAAGACTATAACACCCTCCCAAGCTCACTATTCCTAGTAGGGTTCATGGCTCTACTTGTTGAGAGCATATCTCTATGATGTGAGATCATATGGTTTCACACTAAGACTGTAACATCCTCTTAAGGCTCACTGTTCTCAATGGTACATCGTTAGTACCCCAAGGCTCACTATTCTCAGTGGTATATCGTTAGTACCCTAGAGTATGCCTAATATCCTAGAGTATACTCTAATACCAACTGACATGATCCACACCCGCTCTTATGAGATATTACCCACTTTGACTCGTTGACCTCACAATTTTGTCTCACAAAAAGCACCTCACAAGTTGAAAGTGATGTGAACCCTTAAATGCCTAATATCACTTTAATACATAATCGATGAGAGATTCATGACTCATTTCTAAGACTATGACATATTCTTTTGGCTCCGTTCTGGCTTTACCCACTAGCTGCGTGTCTTTATGATGTGAGATTCATATAATTCCATGCTAGAACCATGACATTTGAGATCAAAAAAAGATTATGAAGATCAAAAAAAGATTATGGAGATCAAGGCCTCCAGAAGGAAAATTATGGAGATCAAAACTTTTGAAACAAATTATGAAGTTCAAGATTAAGTCATTGAGACTTTTAAGACGAAAATTGAAAAAATTAATCAGAGAAACTTTTTAATTGTAAAAGAATATTAAAAATTATAAAATCGTATCTAATAAATAAATCAAGTTAATAGTTATCTCTTAATTTTTTTTAATTTAAAATATTAGACGTAAAATTTGTGTGAGCTTATATAAATACCGGTAAGAGCCCACATCCTTGCGTCCAGGAGTTAGCCTGCCCAGTCGAAAAAAGACAACAGATTCCAGTCGTTGTGACTCATTTGGAATAAGCGCAAATTCCTTCTGCTTGTTCCGTTGCTTCTCTGTTAAAATATCTCGACTTTAAAATCACTCCAACACTGATACATACACTATAAAATTTTCATGTCACTACGTTATTTGCATGCATGCTTAATTCCTAGCTAGACCAAATCTTTGCAGGAGGGAATATCTCATTAGTGAAGTCGGCAATATTCAGTTAAAGATGCCGTCACTTTCAAACAAAGCGGAGGAGTGTTCTGGACTATGAACTAGTCTTCGCCCACAATTAATAGTGGGATACTTGAAACATTATATATACAGAGCTTTCCTTTGCTTCTAAGTAGTCCTACCATTGATAATCTTTTGCTCTAGGCATAACAAGACCTAGCGGAAGGCTAAGTAGCCATCAGCTATGGTACGTTCTTCTTTTTCCTCGTTTCATTTTGTTCAATCTCTTTTTGGTAAAGTTTTAGATATTTCCTCTTGAAAGGAAAAGAGAAGAAAGGAAAATTTTCAATGCTTTTCTGGTTTTGTTGTAGGAGAAACTTGAGGTTGTAGAAGGAAAGGTGGACTGGAAGGGAAAAGCAGCTGTGAAGTATAAACATGGAGGGATGAGAGCTGCTTTGTTCATTCTAGGTAAGTGACACTGCGCACTAGTTAGTGTTGCAAGCATGAGGAACCGGGTTTATTAAAAAATAAAAAATAAAAAGCAAAGTAAAAAGAAAGATTTGGCTATAAAGTCATATGTATCATGATTTCTTGTTTTCTGCAGTGACGTTTGCATTTGAGAACATGGCAAATCTTCATCTGGCTGTGAACCTGGTGACTTACTTCAATGGGATTTTGCACTTCGAAATAGCTGATGCAGCTAATGCTCTGACAAACTTCATGGGGACTGGTTACATCCTTTCCATTCTCTTTGGAGTCCTCTCAGACAGTTATATTGGCAGATTCAAAACTGTTCTCATTTCAGGATCCATCGAGTTTTTGGTATATATGCTAGATGTTATCCTCGTTTTACGTTGTCAATTCTTCCACTGAAATGGCCCAAGAGCGATGACTAGGAACCGCTCTTTCTTTCGGGAACAGTACTAGAAATTTCATAAAGCAGCTCACAAATTGTTTTTAAAATTAGTAACACATTTCTTTTTGTTTGTGGAATGGTCATATGTCTAGGGACTAGCAATGCTCTCGGTGCAAGCTCACTGTCCGAGCCTCAAGCCATCTGCTTGTAACGTCTTTGATCCAACTTCTCGCTGTGAGAAAATAAAAAATGGTGATGCTGCATTCCTCTACATTGCTTTATACCTGGCTGCTGCCGGCACAGGAGGGATTAAAGCTGCGGTGCCATCTCACGGAGCTGATCAGTTCGATGAGAAAGACCCCCGGGAGGCTAAGCACATGTCCAGTTTCTTCAACTTGTTACTATTTGCCTTGTGCCTGGGTGGTGCAGTTAGTTTAACGCTCATTGTCTGGGTTGATGATCACAAAGGATGGGATTTGGGACTTATGGTCTCTGCCATCGCCATGGTCTTGGGTGTCATCATAGCCGTAGCTGGGTGGCCATTGTATAGGATACATATTGTTAAAGGAACTAGTGTTATCGTGGAAATCATTCAGGTTTGCGTTCAAATTCTATATGAAAATCAATTTTTTTTTCATTTTTTATATGTTATTTTTATCAAAAAATTCATTAATTTTTAATTTGTGTCTTTGCATGATAATTATTTACTTGCTTTGGGTTTGCTTGAAGGTTTATGTTGCAGCCATCCGTAACAGAAATCTTCAACTCCCTGAGAACCCTCTGGAGCTTTATGAGATTGATAAGGACAAGGAAGCTGCTGTGGAAGCTGATCTCCTGCCTCACAGAAACGTTTACAGGTTTGGTCTAAGTTGGGCTGTTTTGTTCCATTCTTACTGATATAAGCAGCCCCTGCTGCTATTGAATAAATAAATCAATCAAAGAGGTATAAGAGTCTTATTAATCTTGTTTACATATGATTGTATTCAGGTTCCTGGACAAAGCAGCCATTCAAACAGCATCTACAGCGCAGTCTCCAAATCCATGGAAACTCTGCAGGGTAACTCAAGTAGAAAATGCAAAAATCATACTTGGAATGATCCCAGTTTTTGCTTGTACCATAATCATGACCCTTTGCCTAGCTCAACTCCAAACCTTTTCCATCCAACAAGGCCTTACCATGGATACAACCATCGTTGGCTCTTTCCACATACCACCTGCCTCTCTGCCAATAATTCCTGTTGGTTTCTTGATCATCATAATTCCCTTTTATGACCAAATTGTCGTTCCCCTCCTCCGGAAGTTCACAGGGCATCCCACAGGTATCACTCACCTTCAACGTATAGGAGTTGGCCTTATTCTCTCTTCTATATCCATGGCTGTGGCTGCAATAATGGAAGTGAAACGCAAAGCTGTGGCACGAGACCACAACATGCTAGATGCTATTCCAGGGCTCCAGCCATTGCCTATTAGCACATTCTGGCTCTCATTCCAGTACTTCATATTTGGAATTGCCGACATGTTCACGTATGTGGGTCTTCTTGAATTTTTCTATTCAGAGGCTCCAAAAGGACTAAAAACGGTCTCTACTTGCTTTTTGTGGAGTTCCATGGCACTTGGGTACTATCTCAGCAGCATTTTGGTTAAGATAGTCAATAGAGCAACAAAAGATATTACAAACAGTAGAGGCTGGTTGGCAGGCAACAACATTAACAGAAATCATCTGAATCTCTTCTACCTGTTGCTATCCTTACTGAGTTTGGCCAATTTCATTGTCTATTTGTTCGTTGCAAGCCGTTATAAATACAGGTCTGAGTGCCCTGTGGTTCTTTCTGGCGATGACAAATCCGGAGACAAGACAGAAGGTAATTAGCTACAATATCATATGAAGAAGCCAACTGATACGCGAATGGACAGTTCTTTTCTTCCTTAATTTGTTTCTACTTCCCTTTGGATGTTTAGTTTCAAGTCGGTGAAGCTGTAGAGGGTTTGAAATGCATTTGTTATGTTCATTAACTAAATGTGTCATGTTCTGGATTACAGACTATAGTAAACCCCAAATTTCTAGACATTAATTTGGCAAATAGCCCACAAAGTTGATTGAATCATTTTATTTTCATTATGATAGTGTTTAAAAGCGTGAAAATGATATATGAAATATAAAAAGTAATAACCCTGGTCGTTTCTTTCCACCCTTTTCTTCTTTTCGATCCTCAAAACACTCTGTTTCACCAAATTTAAAGTGAGATGATGCCATTTGAAATCTGGGATTTACTGAAACTTGTAATGCATGTAAACAGTGCAGGCCCGTCGGCCCCAAGTGTCGATCGCAAGCACCCACCTGTCCACATAGCTCGCCAACTTCAACCACCTCATCTCCATGCATCTCAAGGTGGCCCCCGAATGTCCCTCCACGTTCCCCTTCTACTTTCTCTCCTTCCTTATAACCCCCAAAATTTCAGAACAACCTTCAAAATTAACCACACCCCAAAAGCCCAAGACTAGCACATCAAATAGAAATAAAGGCGTTAGAACAGTGCGTTTCAATGGCTCCCGTTTACAACTCCTCGTGTCAGATGGTTTCCAGTGACGAGTCCCCGGCTCAAGGCACCGGGGCAACCCATGTCGATGGGGCAGCACATGATAGACAAGGGTGCATCACTCCAGTGAAGCAGATTAGCCAGCACGTCTGCACCTATGCGTTGTATAGTCATGACATGAGTCGTCAGATTGAGACTCCCCACTATATCACCAGGCTAAACCACGACTTTCTCCAGTGCGCTGTTTATGATTCTGATGACTGCAAAGCCCGCCTCATTGGTCAGTATTTTTGTCCCCTTAATTTTGAAGTAAAAAAGAACGAAACAAAATGCTGAATAAGTTTTTCATTTCTATGCAGGAGTTGAATATATAATATCCGATCGACTGTTTGAAACTCTGCCTCAAGAGAAGCAAAAGCTTTGGCATTCCGATGCTTGCGAGGTTGTATCTCTTTTTCTAACACAAATCGGGGCTGATAAATTATAGTGTTAGCCATGATAATGAGCATTTTGGTACAGATCAAATCAGGCCCCTGGGTTAATCCCAGGATTCCAGAAATGATAAGGAAACCTGAACTGGATAATTTGGCTAAGACCTATGGCAAGTTTTGGTGCACATGGCAGGTTGACAGAGGTATATAGACGTTAATTTATTGCTAGATATTCCTTTATTAATTTGGACATCAAATGCAGACAAACTAATTTTAAGTGGGTGTTTGTGAAGGTGACAGGCTTCCAGTGGGCGCACCAGCATTGATGATGCCTCCCCAGGGAGTGAACTTGGGCAAGATCGACCCGGAGCTGGTCAAGGAGAGGGATGACAAGTACAACATCTCGACGGAAGCACTGCAGGGATCAAGGTTGGAGATTGAAGAACCAGAGTGGATCAATCCACAAGCGGACTACTGGGAACAGCATGGGAAGGTTTTTGCTATTGACATTGAGCCAACCAAAATGAAGTTGGGAGTACCCTTCCCTCGAACAAACCTTACCTATGGAGACTAGCTATGGGGATTTGGGGACTTGTGTTGGAGTAAAATTGTGGAACTTATCTACCATAGAGAGCAAGTTTTTCAACAAACAGCGTAAATGGTGTGTAGTCTGATTGTTACTTTCCTCACCAATCAACGTGGCAGTATGACTTTCACGAGAGAAGGTGCAGCACCATTGCAATGAGTCGAATCACTCTTTCGATGCAAGGTCCAGAAATATGAAGATCATTCACCTTCTTAGAACCATTAGTGCCCCCGAACACCATCATTTTAGTCCCCACAAGAACAGCACTGTGGCTGTCTCTAGGGCCGGGACCCTGCCCTACGGTTTCCAGAGTGTTCCAAACCATTGTGTTGAGATTTAGCATGAGAACATCACCAAAATGTAGACCTCCGCAACACCCCCCAAAAACGTAAACAACCCCATTGGAATAGCAGGCAGAGTGCCCCCCATCTCTCAGAAGGATTAAAACCTGAAACTATTGGATACAGCCACATTGCTTTCTTCTTTGCAGTTTCAGCTCCAAGAGACCCCATTCAATTACTTTTCAATACCTTAAGTACCATACAATTACTTACGCCAAAGTCAAGTTGCACCTTTAAATTGGTCCCAAACTTAATGCCAGAAGCCTAGGAATTATTATAAAAATTTCAATTCCATCATTAAATTTGATTATTTAACACAATGTCAAGTTGTCACATGTCTCAAATTGTTCTTAACCACACCTCTAATCCTAATTTTAGCATGTAGAGCCTGCTGTTTTACTATCGCAATATTCACTTGCAATCGTAATGTCAAATTAATATTGCAATTGTCAATTCTATCCTAATGTCAAATTAGACTTGAGAAAATGAATAACAATAAAAATCCCTTAGAAAACACTACCTTATCAGACAAAAGATAGTGTTTGATAATAATCAACTCAAAATGTATATATAAATTAAAGTTGTATAGCTTTTCGAGCAGCAAAAATCAATCCTAATGGTTGTTCTGTATGTCCTTATATATACTAGTGAAGTACAGGTTAGTGAAGATATATACTCGATGTGGTAATGCTCATCATCTTTTTTCTGGAATATTCTTCCATGGGCCGTGGCATCAGGCTCAGTTCCTCCACTCGAGCTCGATAGGATATGCTCTTCCCATGTGCCACCTTGCCCAACTTGCTACTTTAAAATCTCAAACCCATTTTTATTCCATCTTCAAAAGCCCAAATAATATCGCGAAAAGCCTTCTAATCCCTCGTCTTGATTGCTCTGTCACTGGTCGCTTCAGTTCCACTTCTTTCACTGTCATGGCAACCCCAGAAGCCGTCGTTAAGAAAGATGTGTATTCGGTGTGGGCACTTCCACCAGAAGACGTTGCTGTCCGGGTGAAGAAGTTGATGGAAGGTTTAAGATCCGAGTTCGGTGGGCCACAGTTCGAGCCCCACGTCACGGTTGTAGGGGCCATCAGTTTAACCGCTGATGATGCGTTGGCTAAGTTCAGGTCAGCCTGTGATGGGCTCAAGGCTTATACTGCTACCGTCGAACGTGTGGCCACTGGAACTTTCTTTTATCAATGTGTCTTTTTGCTGCTTCACCCCACTCGCGAGGTAATTCCTGTTTCAATTTTTATTTCTGTGGTTTTCCTTCAATCTATAATAATTCAAAGAAAAGCTTTTTAATTATGATTGTTATTGGAGTAGTTGAAGTAAGCAAGAGTTTCATGAATTTTTCCAGGTGGTGGAAGCTAGTGCACATTGTACTGGCCATTTTGGTTACAAGAGTTCCACACGTAAGTTATGCCTTTTGTTTTAACACCTTTGGCAAACTTAGTTATGTTTCTTGGCACCTGTCACGGATATGGGTATCATGTGACTGGGGATACATGTTCTAAAACCCCTTTCTAGGCACCCAAAGATTTCACTAACTTTGTACCTGCTATTGCTGAAATTTATTAGACTAACCGGAGGCTATATTAGGTGAATTAATGATTATCCTTGCCTGGAAAACTGTCAATCCAAACCATTGGTGCTCTCTCGTAAAATTTTCAAGGGAAGAAACATCTAGATAATACCCCTGAGGTTTTGGTATAGTACAGCTCCAGAGGTGGTTAGAATTATGGAATACGAACTAGTTAAAGACGTTCAGACAACATTTTTCAATTGTAGAGTGGTTAGAGTTTTGGAATAGGAAGTCCAATGTTATCAGGTATATGTTAGAGTTTTGGAATATGAAATAAGTCATCAGGAATTTGACTTGTAATCCCTCAAAAAATTTCCGACCAGTTGCTAGAATTGTTTCAATGAGAGTGAAAAATGAAAAAGACACCGTCTAGGGGTGTTAAGGAGGGAAATTGGGTTTTCAAATATTGTTATCAGTTGGTGAAATGTTTTCAGTAATTTTCAAAACTGCCAAATGCATATGACGATTCTGGATTTGATTTAAAGTTATTGTCTGAGTTCTTTAGTGGTGTGCCTAAATGGATAGACTCAATTTGATTTCTTTGCTTTTGAACTCGCAAAACAAGTCAAGTAGCATGTATACCTGAATCCATGGCATTGCTTTAGTTGTCCCAGCAGTTAGATGACTGTGGTTGGTAAATGCCGTTTGTCTTTAAGGATGGCGTAGAAGTACTTTGTAGATGAGATCACTGTCACCGTCATCTGATTGTTGAAAACAAAGCTTAATTGACCATTTTTCAATTAACTGTGCACGAAGATCAAATATTTGTGCTTGTCTTTCCATTTTGACATTCATTCTGTTGGTGACAATTGACAAATACTTCTATTTTCTTCTAGCATACATGCCACATTTGAGCCTCCTGTATGCTGACCTGACAGAAGAAGAGAAGAAGAAAGTTCAAGAAAAAGCTAATATACTTGATGAAAGCATTGGCAGCCTGAGCTTCCAGATAAGTCGTCTTGCATTATATAAAACAGATACTGAGGACAAAACTCTCAAATCCTGGGAGAAGGTTGCTGAATGCAACCTCTGCCCAAATTAGCTCTTTCTCTACTGTTACTCATGCAAATAGCACCTAATACAATGCATATAGGTTGTAATAAGACTGACCTTGTCATCTTACCTATATCAATAATAATGTACCTGTGCAGGTTCTTAGTAATTACTATGAGTTATGATGATGCACTCTATCTTATTGACAATTAGATGTCTTTGAGGTTGCGTACCTTAGAACTGCCACTAGCCATTAATAATATAGGCAATTTGCCAAGTCCACCATCCCCTGCAACTTATTTGCATAGTCAGTTACTTTAAGTGGTGTTCTATTTTGTTTGTTGGGGTCAATGAAAGTTTGCTTAAACCAGTGCCTTTAATTTAAAGAAGAGAAGTAGCGGTCTTATGGGGCAAGTTTCGCTCAATAGGTAGCATTTGGTTATAATGAAAATTGACATTACTCTATAATAATTAGATGACTTGAGCATACAGGCAACAAAGAATATGTCTCGAAATTATCCATCTTATTTTTTTTCCACTTAGTTTGAAGAAGACAAAACCAGAAGGGCAAGCATGTAAAGCATCCATTCAATATGGCTAAAACTATATGAAACGAATAAAAGTAAATTCCATTTCCTTGTCCAAGTTGGGTGAAATTGCATGGTTATCAAGAGTTTTGTTCTCATATTGAAGGCTCGTACATATTTTTATTAGAAGAGATCTAGAAGCTAACAAAATTCAACTCTCAGAATTCCTTATTCCGTTATCCTTATTCATGATCTATATTCAAAAGTCCCTGTACTTGTTATGCCCTTATTGTTGACATGAACTTTCCTAGGACAAAATTGACCATGAACCTAAAGTTGTTAATGAAAATTTGATCTCTTCAAATCTAAGTTCAAGTGTTTTATCCGATTACGTTGACATTTGGCGGAGAGGATTTTGTGATAAAGCGTATGTGAAAAATGGGTAATGGTCAAATAGGCTTTCACAGCTTGACCTAGCTGGATCTTGGATAAGCTAGCTTTTCCACAAACTTTACCCGGGGGTAAGGCACCCAACACAGTTGGAATCTCATTGGACTGAATAACCCAAACCAGAAAAGAAAAGAATGATTCCAAAACGTGTTCAAACTGTAAAAGCAACTTGATGATTTAAAGGAATCCCATTACTCTGTTCCAACTACCAGGAAGGAAGAAACTCCCGAAACATGTAAACATGTTGAGAAAAGTGTCGGCCTAAATCCAAGATTGGTCCCTGGAGCTCCCATGTGATACTTATCTTTTTCCCATCGCATGTTATGGATGACATCAGGCCATGTTTAATAGTCAGACAGCCACATTGTTTTTCCCTCAGGATAATCATGAATAGCTGGAATTGGACAGTGAACCTTAGCCAATTCCTATACTTAGTCAAACGCCATCCGGAATTCACAACAGACCACTGGTTTTTAAAGCCTCAAAGGGCATCCAAAAGTATCTATTTCGAAAGATTCTATTTGATCAACATAATCAATACTTAATTCCCACTTGCAGCCTTGAACAAGATGACCTTTTCAGGATCCAAACATTCGAGGTCCTTGCTTGGAAGTCAAATTCTGAATTGGTTTGAGCCTTTGAGGAAATGAACAAATCCTCAACCATTTTTCGTTTTTTTTTTTGTTTATTTTGGTTTAATTTTGAGGTGTTTCAAACAAAGAAATAAATCTTTCAATGGTCGGCTGAATAGTTTAAGCAGCCAGCCGGACAGCAATTTCGTACCATACAGGTTCCAGGATACGCAGACTACCGAAAACAAGTTGTCACGTGGTGCAAACAATCATTATCCACTTTCCAACGACATCGTTTCGCACCTGGCCCTTCGATTTCCTTCCGCGTTAATAATCTGGGGCCCCATGGAACTAACCTGCACTATTACCGTCTAATGCTGCATAAACGGTCCGGATTGTTAACCGCTTTTCCACAAATGTCTAAAAGTATAAAGTCGTCGTTTCTCATTCGTCCTTGTCGGGTTGCGCCGTATCGAAGAAATTTCCCTCACGCGTTGAAAGCGCGTGAATTCCACACCCATTAAGAAAATTAAAAATCCGCCACGTTACCTACCACTAAAGCTTCAACAACTGCAGTTCCAACTTTCCTTCGCTTTTACGATTCTCTGTTAAACCACCGCAAAATCTCTCTCCTTCTCTCTCTCGACTTCTACATATAAATCTTGCTCATTGGATTCTAATCCCGTTTAAATCTTGTTTAATTAAGACTCTAATCAAATTAAAAATCATACTCATTTTGGATAAACGAAGTAAAGTAGTTGTCGTTTCTTGATTTTCTTGTTCTTGGTTTGGATAAAAAAAGTAATGGAAAATAAAGCGGCGGTGAGGTTTACGTTAGGGAAGCAATCGTCTATGGCACCGGAGAGAAACAGAGGCGAACCGGACGGAAAAGAGAAAGAGGAAGGTGAAGAGATAGACGGAGTTAGGCTGATGTACTTAGCCAACGAAGGTGACTTGGACGGCATTCGCGAGCTCTTGGACTCGGGGATCGACGTTAACTTCCGCGACATCGATGATCGGACGGCTCTCCATATTGCCGCGTGTCAAGCACAGACCGACGTTGTTTCCTTGCTCCTTCAGCGTGGGGCTAACGTCGAATCTAAAGATCGGTGGGGAAGCACTGTAAGCAGAAACAAAAAAGTCCTCCTGCTTTCCTTTTTTTCTTTTAGTTTCTTTTTCTGATCTTATATGTTTTTGTTCAAATAGCCTTTGGCGGATGCTATATATTATAAGAATCATGATGTGATTAAGCTTTTGGAGAAACATGGAGCTAAACCTTTGGTAAGTCTTTGCATTTTCGATTTGGAATTTTTTTTCTTTGCTGATGTTGTTATTGATATTGATATTGATTGTTGAATTTTGGTTGTAGATGGCTCCAATGCATGTAAATCACGCGCGTGAAGTCCCAGAATATGAAATTGATCCAAAAGAACTCGATTTTACTAACAGCGTCGACATTTCTAAGGTGATCTCTTTTTTTTTTTTGTAACATTTCAGGATTTCGTAAGAGTTTAAATCATAGTTATACATAGGAATAGTGTTATATGGGAATTGAGAATAATCTTGGGAGCCATCTAATATTGGATGCATTGCATTCATAAGTGGGAAATAATTTTGCGTTGGACCTGTTTTTCTAGCATAATGCTCATTAAAGTTTGTGAACAATGTTTGGACTTGTTAAACAGTGTCCTGGTTGTTGCACTGTGAATTTGAGCGGACAAAGGGGAACGGGTAGAAAGCCAGTAAAGGATTAAATTTTTGTTGCATAGAGCAGAGAGTTTCGTTAATTGTACAATGCAGGTTCGATGAGAGTCACATAAAAGGCCAATTAGGCAAAGTCTATGCTGTTTTGGTAACTCCATGTTGCATATATATGCAAGAGTCAACTCATAAACTGATGAGCCTGTGCTTTTGCATCTGTAATTTTTTTCTTAGCTGCTGCAGATCTAAGTTATCTCTATGAATAAATTGCAGGGAACTTTCTGTAGAGCATCATGGCGAGGAACAGAAGTTGCTGTAAAAAGGCTTGGAGATGAAGTCCTTACTGATGAGGACAAAGTGTAAGTTGTTCATAACCTGAAAGTTTTTTTTTCCACTGTTTCCCTTTTTTTCTTTTTTTTTCTTTGGGGGTGTGGGGGTTGTGGTGGGTGGGTTTGCAGGCAGTTGGTGCTTGGGTGAGAGGACCACTGGACCAAGCCTGGGTCCTTTTCTTCCAATAGTATGATTTATGAATTGCTTGCTTTTCTTTTTCTTTTTTCAGGAGGGCATTTAGAGATGAGCTTGCATTATTTCAGAAAATTCGACATCCAAATGTTGTCCAATTTCTTGGTGCGGTAACTCAAAGTAGTCCCATGATGATTGTGACAGAATATTTACCCAAGGTTTTTTACTCCAGCAGCTTATTTGCTATCATAGCATCTAAGGGCTGTCGTCTATGAATCATTTACTTCTGTTTGTTTCTTTGGCTTAATGATGTTTATTTCAACTTCTTGTGAATTTGTATTGCTATGAATTCTTTTTGTTGTGTATGAAATGTTGGATAATTCATTGATATGGAATTGTAATGCCAGATATTTACTTTGTTCTGTTAATTTTTCTTTTGGTGATTTTATGGAGAGTAAAATTGAGGATGAATGATAGTGTTTTGTAAAATATTGGCCTTAAAGTTATCTTTAAGCTTGTTTGTTTCAAATCTAAATTGTTCCTTCAGAGTTGGCTTTTTAAATCTTAATTTTCTGTTTTTTTCCAGGGAGATTTACGGCTTTTTTTGAAAGGAAAAGGAGCATTGCAACCAATGAAAGCTCTGAGATTTGCACTTGATATTGCAAGGTTATTATTGTATTATTGCAGTGGACTTGGTTATTATTGCTTGAGGATGCCACATTGACAATTAGCTATTTTGATTGTCAGAAAAGGACAGTTAGATATCAACTTTGATGTGAGAGTTACTGTGTAAATGAGTAGGTATTTAGTTACATGTTATGCTTTCTTTATGAAGAATACAGATAGGCGAATGTGAAAGCTGCAAAATGATGATACATTAGTGTACAGAGAAAATTTGTGGTGACACATAAGACTGATTGTTGGTCTTAGATGATTATAGTTGAGATGATCACTATAAAATTTGAGTTTAGAGATAGGTGAGAGAAATAAAACTGATTAATACATGGTATAGTTTATGGAAGTTTTTTTTCCAGCTGCTAGTCCCTCATGGGTGGACTTGAAAGATCATTAACATATCTTCCACAATTTTGCAGGGGAATGAATTATTTGCATGAGAATAAGCCAGCACCAATAATTCACCGTGATCTTGAGCCTTCGTAAGTTTTCTTGTTCAGATGGGTTTTTCTTTTCCTAACAAATATGTATATTAACGAACAAAAATTAGTTTTATGTTTCTGTAGAAGACATATTGTTTGCCTTAATTTTCTGAAATGGTCAGCACTTTTTATGTGCTTACAATTTGAAATAAACAGAAACATTTTGCGGGATGATTCTGGACATCTGAAAGTCGCAGATTTTGGAGTTAGCAAGCTGCTCACAGTTAAAGAAGATAAACCTCTAACTTGTCAAGAGACATCCTGTGAGTTCACTGTCTATTTGGTTTTAGTTATCCGCAA